GGCCAACTGCCTGAGGCCCCTATCCCTGGCCAGCTCTATTCCAGATTGTCTTCCCACCCCCCCGCACCTTGCATGGGAGTGAGGCCGGCTGGCAACCTTCTGTGTCCTCTTCCCCCAGTCCGCCTGGCCTAATTGGCCCTGATAGGGGCAGGCCGGCAGAACCCCACCGAGCATGAATTTGTGCACTGGGCCTCTAGTTGTAAATAATGCTGCAGTGAACATAAAGGTGTATATATTCTTTTGAATTAGTGTTTTGTTTTTTTTTTGTTTTGTTTTGCTTTGTTTTTCATATATATCCCCAGAAATAGATTTGCTGTATCATAAGGCAGTTCCATTTTTGATTTTTTGAGGAAATTCCATACTGCTTTCCCACCAACAGTGCACAAGTATGAAGTGATATTTCATTGTGGTTTTAATTTGCATCTTTCTGAAGGTTAGTGACATTGAGCATTTTGCATAATAAAGAGGTAATATGTAAATTGACTGTCATGCCCTTGCACAAGATGGCTGGCAGGGGAGGATAATTGTGGGCAATCAGGCCAGCAGGGGAGGGCAGTTGTGTGCGACCAGGCCTTCAAGGAAGGGCAGTTAGGGATGAAGGGGCCGGCAGGGGAGGGCAGTTTGGGGTGAGTAGGCCGGCAGGGGAGGGCAGTAGGGGCAGACCAGGCCTGCAGGGGAGGGCAGTTGTGAGTGACCAGACCTGCAGGGAAGGGTAGTTGGGGGGGATCAGGCCTGTAGGGGAGGGCAATTGGGGATGACTAGGTTGGCAGGGTAGGGCAATTGGGCCAGCAGAGGAGCAGTTAGGTGTCGATTAGGCTGGCAGGGGAGTGGTTAGGTGGTGGTCAGGCTGGCAGGCAGAAGCAATTAGGGGCAATCAGGCAGGCAAGCAGTTGGGAGCCAGCTGTCCTGGATTGTGAGAGGGATGTCTGACTACTGGTTTAGGAGATGGGGCCTAAATGGGCAGTTGGACATCCCTCGAGGTGTCCCAAATTGGATAAGGTGCAGGCTGGGCTGAGGGACACCCCCTCCAGTGCATGAATTTTGTTCACTGGGTCTCTAGTCTTTTCATATAATAATAAATATTCTTGATGTACTTTAGCTATCAAAAGCAGATAAATATTATATATTTTGTTTAAGAAAACAGGATTAGTACATTTTAAAAATAATACTGTCCAGACTACATGATGAAACATGTAATAGCTAACCTAATATGAATAATTTTTTATTCAAGACGTATGAACTGCTTCTTTGTTGTATAGAATATCCTGACATTATTGTAAATATACTATTCTAGATATTTGTCTAAAATTCCAAGAAAAGCCGGGACCGGTTTGGCTCAATGGATAGAGCGTCGGCTTGGGGACTGAAGGGACCTGGGTTCGATTCCGGTCAAGGGCATGTACCTTGGTTGCGGGCATATCCCCAGTAGGGGGTGTGCAAGAGGCAGCTGATCGATGACTCTCTCTCATCGATGTTTCTAACTCTCTATCTCTCTCCCTTCCTCTCTGTATAAAATCAATAAAAATATATATTTAAAAAAAAATTCCAAGAAAAAAGATGATGTAGTAGCTAATTGTAACACTAGGTGGTGGTAATGACTTTAGAAATTAAAGTGTGAAATGTTTGCAACATATGTATTCTTTTTGAATTTGAAACATTTAGTGCTGCTTATATTTTGAATTTGAAACATTTAGTGCTGCTTACATTTCAGAAGGAAAGGAGGGAAAAATATGCCAGGCTATACAATACCCTTTCTACCTGTTTGGGCTCCTCACCATTTTATCTTTTTCCTTTGAATGCTATAATCCAATGCTTCTTAAATTTGTTGGTCTCATGCCCTTTATACTCTTAAAAATTACTGAGTATCCTAAAGAGCTTTCACTTATGTGGGCCATAAATAAATAATGGTTAGTTTTTTTTTCTTGTTAGAAATTAAGACTGAAAAATTTAATACTTATTAATATAACTATTTTTGATAAATAATTTTTCCACAACAAAAAATAGTAAGAAGAATTACTTTGTTTTTAAATTTTAAATCCCTTTAATGTTTAGGTTATTAATAGAAAGCTGGATTTCTGTATTGTTTACAGATTCAATTTGTTGGAATATAACATCATTTATTTTCTGGAAAATTTCACTCCATATTTGTGAGAGTATAAGAATAAAAAAGGCAACTAATGACTTTGTATGAAAATCATTTTTATTTCACATAGTCTCTCAAAGGGTCTTGTGGACCCCAAAGACTCCAAAGCTACAATATAAGAACTATTGCTTTACCTCCTGTGTGCCTGTAAGAAGCTAATGAAGAAATGCAAACTATATGCATACGTACTTTGTATTAACTTTGAATTTACAAATACTAAAGCTTAAACCACCAGTTTTTGGCTTATTCCATCTGTATGTTGCACTTAAGGATATATTTACAACAAAAATGCCTGAGTCGATATTATCACATTAATTGATAAGAAAAACGTAATTTCCTAATAGAAAAAAGGACATAATTTAAAAATATATATATATTTTATTGATTTTTTTACAGAGAGGAAGAGAGAGGGATAGAGAGTTAGAAACATTGATGAGAAAGAATCATAGATGAGCTGCCTCTTGCACACCCCTTACTGGGGATGTGCCCACAACCAAGGTACATGCCCTTGACCGGAATCAAACCTGGGACCTTTCAGTCCGCAGGCCGATGCTCTATCCACGGAGCCAAACCGGTTTTGGCAGGACATAATTTTTTACCAGAAAAAATACTTATTAGAAATACATATGGACCTAAATTATTATCAGAGTTTTATTTAATGTATATTAGCTGAAATCTTTAATCTGTGAAGACTTTGATATCATCACAATTACACCTCTGTTGTGAAGTAATCTCTTATTCATTTTCTACACTGAGTGGCCTGATTATTATGACCTTGGAATGCATAATTATTGGCCACTCAGTGTATATGTTATATAATAAAAGGCTAATATGCGAATTGTCTCCTTGACCAAGAGTTCAACCAGCAGGAAGGTGGGCCAACCGCCCATGCTCCTTGCCCCTGGTCAGGCTGACCGGACCCACCCCACCCATGCTTCAATTCATGCATCGGGCCTCTAATGTATATATCCTATATAATCCTATCTAATAAAAGAGAAACATGCAAATTGACCACACCTTCGGCATGCCCACAAGCCCCGCCCACCAGCCAATCAGGGTGAGTATGCAAATCAACCCAGCCAAGATGGTGGTTAATTTGCATATTCAGGCCAGAGCAAAGACTGAATACTATGTAGGAAGAAGCCAAGCACTGCAGAAGGGAGTGAAGCTTCGTAGAAGCAAGCAAGAGGGGCGGGGGAAGAAAGGAGGGAAGCAGGCGGGGCAGGGAGAAGGGCAGAAAGCGGGTGGGCTGGTGGAGAAGGGAGGGAAGCAGGTGGGGCAGCGACCGCAGCAGAATGCCCTATTGAAGGAATTTTCCTGCAATGGGCCTCTAGTAAAAGAATAATATGTAAATTGACTGTCACACCAAGACACAAGATAGCCACCCCATGTTGTCAAAAATGGCTTCCCCATGTGGACACAAGATAGTCACCACAAGATGGCCTGCAGGAGAGGGCAGTTGTGGAAAGTTAGAGGTGACCAGGCCAACAGAGGAGGGCAGTTGGGGGTGACCAGGCCAGCAAGGGAGGGCAATTGGAGGGGACCAAGGCTTTCAGGGGAGGGCAGTTGGGGGAACCAGGTCTGTAGGAAAGGACAGTTTGGGGGAGCCAGGCATGCGGGAGCCAGGCCTGCAGAGAATTGCAGTTGAGGGAGACCCAGACCTGCAGGGGAGGGCAGTTGTGGGGGACAAGGCCTGCAGGGGAGGGCAGTTGGGGGGGATCAGGCCAGCAGGGGAGGGCACACACACACACACACACACACACACACACACACACACGAGTGGCCAGATTATTATGTGTTCAGAGATCTTAATGATCTGGCCACTCTCTGTATGCTTTGTTCTTCGTAATCTACATTCACAACATCAATCCTTGTCTCTATGCTAATGATTCCCAACTCTGTGTCCAAGCCAACCTGACCTCTCTTCCCTGTGTTTCCCAGTCTTAATTCCAGTTGTGTATCTCTCTAGGTAGAAGTCAGAAAGGTTCCTCAGTCCCCGGTTACATAAAACCAAGCTCATGTTCTCCCTTCAGATCACTCTAGCACCTACTCCTCCTTAATTCTCTTTTAGTTAATCACCATTATCAGATTCCTTAGGCTGGGAACCTTTAAGGAACCTTTGATAATTTTTTCACGCATTAAATACACTGACTTTTTATGTCTCTTTGCTGTTTTCTCTGTCTTGAATTTTCTTCTTAACCTGGAAAATGACTACATATATTTAGATCTCAAAAGTTACCACTTCTGTACATAGTTAGCACATATTCTTATATCACTATAAATGTGTGTTTGTGTAAACAGAGCAAAAGCACATATTGTTTTTTCATCTCTCCCTTGATGAATTATTAGCTTTGTAAGGCAAGTACTGTGTTCTAGTCATCTTTATTTCCCCAGTTTTTAGCATATTTCGTAGGTTTATTTATAGGTGAGTGAGAATGGTATCAACTGTCCTTGTGTCAAGTATTGTGCAGGTAGGTTCATTGCTGCCCAATGTTAAATTTTACAAATCATGATTAGCATATCTTTTCCAATAATTCCTTAGTTTCAGGGGGAAATTCCTCCATTATAAAAGTTAACACTGAATATAATGTTTCATAAATACATTTAATATACATCTGAAGTATCACACACCTGATCTTATGGTATTTATAATGAATAGTACTATAATTATGACTTGATGTTTACTCTTTTTTTTTTCCCCCCACCCCTGATGTTTACTTTTAACAATAAAAATGTGCTAGGTTTAAGTATAGTTTGAGGTAAAGGTTTTGATATAGAATGTATCTATACATACATATTTCCTTGTAAGTACTTTTCAGATTTATGTATACTAATACATGCTAATTTCTGTTTGCAGAACTTCTTGGTATACACGAACAATCAGCTGTAGGGTTCTTAACATTAATGGAAGCTTTAAGATACTGTAAGGTAAGTTAATTTTTAAGGTACTTTGAATGGTCTTTATTCACATGTTCACTATTGTGGATAGTATTTTTCTTCTATGACAACATATTTTAGTTTACTACTGTTATTATATATTCTCATCAGATTATTGCTGGTTTTCCTTCCTAAACTGACAGGCGTATTAAGGGAAGAGTTAAACTGGCTGATCGGGCAGAGTTTCCTAATTTGAGGTTTGTTCCTTTTTGAGGGTGGGTGGAAGAACCCAATATATTGTGAAAATAGAGACTTCTGTTGTTGAATATAAATGTGTTTTTTTGGTAAACTGAGGGAAAAGAATGTGCTCTTTCTTCCTTAGCAACCCACGGTGTGCTTCACTGAAACAACTGGTAGTACTTTATTAGGCAAAGAAAAAGAACCTGCTGAATGCTGAAATTCTAACTTCTCTTTGTTCCATCTGAAAATGGTTTCACACTGACGAAGGAGAATTCTAAGCATTTAATAGAATTAAACTCTTTAACACATGTGAAGATTAGTAACTGCCATGAAACCCTCATTTATTGATAAATATTTTATTGCTTTCTTACACAATCTGAAATAAGTACTGGCTGTTCCAGTAGTTTTAAATCATTAGTGATTTGCAATTAAGGTGTTCCCATTTTGGAGGAAGGAAAAAACTTAATGTTATTTTCATTTCTGAATGGTGGTTCCATGGCAGTGGTTCTGGTGGTGGTGATTAGTTTGAGTGACAGTAACAGTGTCTTGTGCCCTTCCTTTCTCCCGCTTCCCCCGACCTTTTTTTTTTTTTAACCAGAAAGCATTCCTCTTTCATGACAGTCCTTCGACGGGGGTGATATGGGCATAACAATCAAACAGGTTTCATCCAGCTCTTATTCATTTTAATTATTGTAAAGTTAAACAGTAGCAGCTCTTCTTTTTAGTGACTTGAGTTATACAAGATAAAATTATTCTGAGTTTTCCTGACAACCAGTGAATGAAGTTGCATCTTCTACACACACACACACACACACACACACACACACCCCGGTGTGCACACACACATAAAACAGGAACTGCCATGAAACCCTCATTTATTGGTATATATTTCATTGCTATAGAGGTGATATATATATATTAATTTCTTAAACAGGCCAAGCCCTTTCCTGTCTGACAAGTCTTTATACTTGCTATCATTTCTGCCAGAAATATTCTACTCTCCCCTTCAGGTCCTACTTCAAATGATGCCTCAAAGACCCTTTCCTTGATCATGCCCTCAGTGAATCGTCCCATCATGATTTCTTAGGAATAGTCGCTTTGAACTGATCTTATTTGGTTACCCTGTTTCCCCGAAAATAAGACAGTGTCTTATATTAATTTTTGCTCCCAAAGATGCGCTAGGTCTTATTTTCAGGGGATGTCTTATTTTTCCATGAAGAAGAATACAGTACACATTTATTGTTAAATGAAAATAAAGGAAATTTTTTACCTGTATATGGTACGGTAGTACGGTAGTTGTCAACACAAACCAGACAAACTGTGAATCCTACAGTATCAAGAATTTACTCATTTATTCAGTGACAGTCATGTCATCATCTTCTGGAACATCATCATAACAATCCAATTCCTGAATTTCCTGGTGAATTTCTTGTGACTCCATATCTTTCAGAATCAGTGGACCAAATCTCTCATGTTTAGCCTGTGTGTGTGTGGGGGGGGCCTTAATTTCAGGGGGATGCCTTATATTTCACTCAGAAGGAAACCTGTAAGTAGGTCTTATTTTCGGAGGATATCTTATTTTCGGGGAAACACGGCACTTACATTTTTTATAATTTTGAATTTTTTTTTCGTTGCCATCTCTAATTTGAAGGCAAGTAGGCACATTGTTTCTGGGCACATACATAGTGACAGTCATGCTCAATAAGAGTAGGTGCTCAATAAAGATTGTTGCACGAATGAGTGGAAAATTGCACTATAGCTGCAGGCTTTTCTAAATGTGTGACTTAGCTCTGCTTTAACTATTTGAATAGTTTCCATGAGCTTAGGGGCTAAAGGCCTGTCCCTGGTGGTGTGGTTCCTGGTTCCAGGGCCGTTAGGGCAATGCATAATGATGTGGAGTGTGAGAGATTTCTAGGGAAAGTGGTTGGGGTTTGGACTTACTCAGCGATCTTTTATAAGGAAATTGACCAGCCTCAAGTCAGGGCCTCAAAACTGAGTTAAGACAGAATTTTATAAAATCCACAAAACTCCGTTACATGGAGCTGTTTATATGTACATACTGCATCATCCTTAAAATTTATATACATTTACTTTGTACCAGATGTTTAGAGAAATGACATTAAGGAAATATTTGTGTTTGTGTTAATTTTGTGAGTCTGAGCATTTCCCTGTTTGGTAGTGTAGCAAATTGCCCTTTAGAAATTAAATTAACATTTTCATATCAATTTAACCATATGTGTTTATTAACAGAAATAAAACAGTATTTCTCTCTTCTCCCTTCTTTGTGTGTGTGTGTGTTTGTATGTGTATGTGTGTATTAGAGGCCTGGTGCATGAAATTTGTGCATGGGGGTGTATGTCCCTCAGCCCAGCCTGCACCCTCTCCAAACTGGGACCCCTTGAGGAATTGAGCCTAAATGGGTAGTCAGATATCCCTCTCACAATCCAGGACTGCTGGCTCCCAACTGCTCACCTGCCTGCCTTCCTGATTGCCCCTAACTGCTTCTGCTTGCCAGCCTGATCACCCCCTAACCACTTTGCTGCCAGCCTGATTGATGCCTAACTGCTTCCCTGCCAGCCTGGTCACCCCTACCTGTCCTCCCCTGCAAGCCTGGTCCCCCTCAACTATTCTCCCCTGTAGGCCTGGGTCACCCCCAACTGTCCTCCCCTACAGGCCCTGTCACCTCCAACTTTCCTCTTCTGCTGGCCTGATCACCCCTAACTGCCCTCTCCTGCAAGCTTGATCACCCCCAGCTGCCCTCCCTTGCAGGCCTGGTCCCTCCCAACTGCTCTCCGTTGCTGGCCATCTTCTGGCAGCCATCTTATGTCATAAAAAAAATAATATGCAGATTGAACATCACTCCAACACACATGGGGCAGCCATCTTCTGTGTTGGAGTAATGGTCAATCTGCATATTATTCTTTTATTAGATAGGATAGAGGCCTGGTGCATGGGTGGGGGCCAGCTGGTTTGCCCTGAAGGGTATCCCAGATCAGGGTGATGGTTTTCCTGGGTTGTGGGGCAGCCTGGGCGAGGGGCCTCTGGTGGTTTGCAGGCCAGCCATGCACCCCTACAACTCAAGAAGAGGCCCTAGTATCTGGGATTTATTTATCTTCTATAATTGAAACTTTGTAGCCTTGAGCAGATCTAAGCCTCCTGCTTGCTCCATGGATGCAGTCATTTTTGTTGGGATTTATTTATCTTCTATAATTGAAAGTTTGTAGCCTTGAGTGGAGGCCATGGCAGGCCAGGGCTTGCTGCAGAAGCTTGGCTTCCTCCATCACCAGGGGCAACTCAAGCCTCCTGCTCTCTGCAGCTCTGTGGCCACAGCCATTTTTGTTGGTATTTATTTATTTTCTATAATTGAAACTTTGTAGCCTTGAGCAGAGGCCTGGGCTGTCCAGGGTGTGCAGAAAGCTTGGCTTTCTCCATTGCTGGGGAAATCCAAGCCTCCTGCTTGCTCCGTCGCTGCAGCCATCTTGGTTGGGTTAATTTAGGGGTCTTCAAACTACAGCCCGCGGGCCACATGCGGCCCACAGAGGAGTCTGATCCGGCCCGCCAGGTTTTTTGGGCAGTGAGCACAGCCGAGGTGTTACAGTAGGAATTAGTAGTTCATATAGTCCGGCCCTCCAGCTCTCTGAGGGACCGTGATCTGGCCCCCACTTTAAAAAGTTTGAGGACCCCTGGATTTGTATACCCACTCCTGATTGGCTGGTGGGCATGGCTTGTGGGAATAGCAGAGTTATGGTTAATTTGCATATCACTCCTTTATTAGATATGATGATACACATACATTTGAACAAAGAAGGTGACCCAGTGCTTTTGACTATGACCTTTTAAAAAACATATATAACTCACACAACATAAAATTTACTATTTTAAAGTGTATAATTCAATAGTTTTTATGTATTTATTTAATGTATTTATGTATTTTATGTTATTATAAGTCAATGGATAGTTCCATTTTTTCTTGTTACGAATAATACTGCTATGAACATTCATTCATAAGTTTTTGTGAACATGTTTTCATTTCTGTTGAGTATATACCCAGGAATGAAATTGCCTGATTGTATGGTAATTATATGCCTAACTTTTTGAGAAACTGTCAAACTATTTTCCAAAGTAGTTGCATTATTTATTCACTCTTGATATATTTTTTATTATTATGAAACACTTCATGAGTTCAGCCTTTATTTGCCTTTTGATCTTACTGTGTGTTAAGTGTATGCGTATGCACACACACACTTTATTTATTTATTTATTTTTTTATCGGTTCTAGAGAGAGAGGAAGAGAGGTGGGGGAGAGAGAGACAGAAACATCCATATGAGAGAGAAATATTGATTGATTGCCTCCCGTATTTGCCCCAATCTTGGGATTGAACCTGAAACCTAGATATGTGCCCTGACCAGGAATTGAATCCTGCACCCATTGGTATATGGTACGATGTTCAACGAACTGAGCCACACACTTTTTCTAAAAAAGAAACTAAACTGATCAGTATCAGAGGTGGGGGTGGAGGAATGGGTTGAGAGAGATTAATCAGGGAATAGATATGTGCATATATGCATAGCCCCTGGACACAGACATTAGTTTGGTGAAGGCCTGGGGGGAGTTCAGGGTGGAGAGGGTCTATAGGGGAAAAAAAGGGGGACATCTATAATACTTTTAACAATAAAGGTAAATTTAAAAAAATAAAAGAAACTAAACAGCCTCTAAACTTTTCACAAGAGGCAGCATGATGGAATGGAAAACTACCACATTAAGAGTTAGCAAACCCGAGTCTTAATTCCAGCTCATACTAGTAGTTGACTGTATTCCAACAGGGCACTGATCCAGTGTATTCCTCTGTGTCCTTATATAAAATTGAAGGACTTAACACTGTACACCTCCAAAGGGCCTTCTACTCTGATCCAGTGTAGTCAGAACTTTTTCTTTGTCCTTTGGCTGTTATTCTCTGTTGTCCCCAAACTTCCCTTTACTGGTTCATATTGCCATTGGTACATCCAACGCATCCCTTGCATTATAGGAAAACAGAAAATAAATTCTATCCCTCCTAGTGATAAGAATAAATTTTGAAGGGCCCTGGTGGTGCCTGAAAGCAGGATATCATATCAGGGCTATTGGCTAATTAGGAAGAATAGTTGGCCCTGACTGCTACAAATCTCCACTTGGAATTTCCCACTTCTAGGAAGTCTGTGTGAGAAAAGAAAATTCAAATTTGATTGGTAAGGTTAGTTGTTTTTAAGTCAAAATCTTTGTCCTCATAAGAGTGTGGAACTGATTGATGTGGATGTGGTTGAATTTCACAAGTCTATTTTTTCCTCAGTCACATAAAAATAAGTATTTCCAAATTTTTGTAATTGTAGTATTTAGAGATAAATTATATAACCCTGGAGCCAGGTTATAGGTTTAACTCTATACATTTTAAAGAGACTGCATATTGTAAAACTTTGAACTTAACTCCTATCTCGAAGAGTCAAATGGTAGGATTCTTTTATATACTTAAATGTTTTACTTATTTTGCTTTAGAGAGATTATAATGTTACCCTAGGTTCTCTGAAGACAGGACATTCTTAAGGCTTTTCCCCTTATCTAAACTAATAAAATAGTAAGATGCAAATTGACCATACCTTTGCGGTGTGCACCAGCCAATCAGGAGTGCATATGCAAATGAACATAAAATGGTGGGTTAATTTGCATATGCAGGCACCACGTGGCTGGGGTGGAATGCTTGTGTTGTCACTATGGTGACAATGCAGGCATTCTGCACCACCCCAGCCACTTGGGGCCTGTGGGCAGTGTGGCAAGGCAGAAAGGCGGCTCCAGGCCAGAGTGAAAAGGCAGCCCCGGCCAGAGCGACGGTGGTGTCAGCAGCCAGGGCAAGGAAGGCCCATTCTTGCACAAGTCTTCGTGCATCAGGCCTCTAGTTTATTCATAAATTTACTCGTTTGTTCATTTATAATTATATTCCTGATCAAGTAATTATGATCAAGTTTATGGTTTTTGGGTTTTGAGATACCAAGCTGACATTCTAGAAGTGGCCATTCTATTTATAATAGAAACTTTAGTAAATCCTGAGAATGATGCATAGGGTTAAACTATTGTTTCTGGCTGTGTTAAATCTGTGTCGTTGTTCTATGTAAAGGTGCAACATAAGCTAAGCCCTGACAGTCTTTATAACATTCATTTTATATTCATGGGTAATATATGGGTAAGGCATTCTGGCACAATGTTTATTATTCCATTTAAATATGAATTGGACATCCTGGTTATGTTTCAGATATTCATGGGCATATATCTAATAGGCAGTATAACATTTTCATTTGTTTGTTTATTTTGCTACGTTTGTTCTAGGTTGGTTCTTACTTGAAATCTCCAAAATTCCCTATTTGGATTGTTGGCAGTGAAACTCACCTCACCGTATTTTTTGCCAAGGTATGCTTATAGTAGGATTTTTTTAAAAGTATGACATCAGGCAAACAAGTACTATAGGCTTATATTTAGTATAGATCTTTGTGCAAACATCAGTGTATTCCCACTAACAAATGGATTATTCCAAAATCTAAAATATTAACACAAAAGAATTATTATTGTACCACTCTAGTTTTGGAATTTCAATAAAATCTGTCATGACTCAGTTATAGCTTCTTTACCTTTGCTGACTTTAATGATTTGGCTTTTGCTTTTCTGTTTTTTTATTTTTGTTTGTTTTTTAAGAAATCACTTTTGTTATGATAAGAAGGTTTTGGATTGTTCATTGCCGAAAAGATTAAACTCTCACATGATATACAATAATTTTAGTTATAATATGTCTTAGGAAAATATTTTAAAATCTATTAATAGTTGAATGGTATAAAAATCAAGTACTCTATTAAAATGGAATATTTTCTGTAGTTTTAATTTATATATGGTTATAGTATTGAAATAAAAAAAATGTATTTGAACATGTTTATTTTAAAATTCTGACAAAACCTTTTCTAAATAAAGCCTAGCCTTTAACAATAATATATTTTTTCTACAATTGAGTGATTCAGTGCTTTGGAGTCAGACAGCCTTTGTTTGAATCCTAGCTTTTTCACTTCCTAATGTTCTTAGCCCCTTTTCTTATATTTAAAATGGGGATTAAGAATAATACCTGGCTCTTTAAGTTATCAGGCTTAATATAAAATATTTAGCAGTACTATTACAAGTTAAATGCTCAATCATTCTTAGCTGTCACCATCATTTTAAAAAATATATATATTTTATTGATTTTTTTACAGAGAGGAGGAGAGAGGGATAGAGAGCTAGAAATGTTGATAAGAGAGAAACATCGACCAGCTGCCTCTTGCACAACCCCTACCGGGGATGTGCCCGCAACCAAGGTACAAGCCCTTGACTGGAATCGAATCCGGAACCTTTCAGTCCGCAGACCAACGCTCTACCACTGAGCCAAACCGGTTTCGGCTGTCACCATCGTTTTCATTCTACAAACATTTATTAAACCTCTCTGGTATTCCTAGAGAGAGTTGCTAGATATTGGCCTGAAAGGGAAAAGATATAATTGTGTTTTTGAGGGTTTTTTAAGTTAGAGTGCACTTTTGATTACTCCATTTTTTTTCTTGTACTTGCTAATGTAAGTTTATATCTATAAGAATTATGAATAGCATAAATTATAGCAAAGACTGAACTAACTGCTGAATTTTGTGGATCTATTTTCTTTTTTATTCCTGTATTTACTTTTATTGTGCTGGCAAAAGTCCAGTTAGTGGATTTAGAGAAAGTTATATATACTTTTTTTTTTTAAACAGGGAAAGCTATATAATACAAGTTAAAGTACAGACTTATATATTACATTTAGTCTGAAAGCTTTTGCTGTTTGTTTTCCTCTTAAAGTGAAGAGGGGGAAGTTACTAGTAAAAGCATCATTTAAGCTATAGAAACTGAGCAACTTCTAATTCCTGAATGAATCCATTTGACTAATTTTTGTTTTAAGTGTTATAAATTTACAGATAAGAAAATAAAATTTTCTGCTGAAACCGGTTTGGCTCAATGGATAGAGAGTCAGCTTGCGGACTGAAAGGTCCCGGGTTCGATTCCGATCAAGGACATGTACCTTGGTTACGGGCACATCCCCAGTAGGGGTTGTGCAAGAGGCAACTGATCAATGATTCTCTCTCATCGATTTTTCTAACTCTATCCCTCTCCTTTCCCCTCTGTAAAAAATCAATAAAATATATAAAAAAAGAAAATTAATTTTCAAGCTAATTATTAATTATTTTAACTCCAACCCTATTCTTTAGCATTAAGAAAACTAATAAATTCTGTGAAAGTTTGGTCAAGAGTAAAAATTAATAGAAGAAAATATTTTAAATCTTAAATTTTATAATTGATATTTAAGAAATTAGAGGCCTAGTGCACGAAATTCGTGCATGGGTAAGGTTTAGTGGCTGCTGGCTGCTGGCCGGGGCCTCCCTTCCCTCGGCTGCCAGCTGGGGCCTCCCTTCGCACCCTCCTTGGCCTGGGGCTGCCCGCTCACCTGCTTCACCATCCCGCTGCGGTCCTGCTCTCATCAGGGCCCATTGGGGCCAGCAGTACCTCCACTGCTGTCCGTCCGCTGCCAGCACCATGTTGCCGATGCCTACCATGTTCTGCGCTGCCCCCTGGTGGTTAGCGCATGTCAAACTCCTAGTCGGTCAAACTCCTGCCCATAGGGACAATTTGCATATTAGCCTTTTATTGGGTAGGATGATTCTATTGTCAAAACAGCAGAAGATAGAAGGTTGATACAAGGAATAGTGTTAATTCAACTATGTAAATATGCAGGCATTTTGTATTCAAGCCATAATAATATATCCTAGTTTTAGAAGATTAGGAATGTTTTCTTGAACAGGTGTCTGAAATGAGCTCTGTGGCATCTGATTAAATTATGCAAAGAGGGGAAAAAAGAACTTTCCCTACATGGGAAGTATTTGGAACAAACAAACAGCTGCAGAAAGCTGGGCTATGGTGTGAACAAAGAAGAGCTGGGGCACTAAGCATTCAGGGGGCCAGGTGAAAGATGAGGCTGCAAAAGTAGGCAGGCCCTGCAACTCTATTTTAAGAGTAACGACAGCCCCTAGATTAAAAAAAAACAAAAACAAAAAAACCTGGTGGTGGGAATAGGTTGGGGGTAGATGGGAAGGAAGGGAATGGTTTTAAATTTGCATTTTGGAAAGATCATTTTGGCTATATTGAAGGATAATTTAGAGTGGGTAAAAAAAAGTTCTTTAATTTTTGGGTTAAGCAAAGAATATGGTAATGATGGTAAAGATGGATAGAAGCACATACATTTGAGAGATTTATTCTGTTAAACTGACAGGATTTGGTGACAGATTGCATTGGAGAGATAAGAATTAGAGAGGTCTCATGACCTATGTTTTTACTGATTAGATCTTCAAGCTTCAGAAAGAACTCAGTAGCCTTGCTATTATAGAATATACCCGTTTTTTATTTTTTGGGGGGGCACACTGACCAGGTCAAGAGGAAAGATTGAGATACTATAGTTTAGGAACAGTTCAGCCAAATAATCCCTACAGTGAAGTTTATAAGTCCTTCTCACAAAGATAGTGCTTTTTAGTTTTCCAAATATTAGCAGAACACCAAAGGTCACCAGACATTTGAGGAATGCTTCCATGAAAAATAGAGTCAGAACAAATAGGGTAAAATGAACTCAGAAGAATGTAGATATTATAGGACAGTGCAGGGATAAAAAGAAAACTTAAAAATATACACACAATAACACCTAAGAGAAGTTAATATATCCATGAAACTATAGAGGTCATGAGGGAAAAAAAATTAAGAAAAAAGAGAAACTTAAAATTTACTGAAAGAATCAGAAGACAAATTGGAGAAATCTCCTTCTAGCTTGTTGCAATAGTTTCTAACTGATAACCATGCCGTTGCCCTTTTGGGGGCTATAGTATTTTCTCATTTCAGCAACTAAAATGACCCCAAAACTTTATGTCACTGTTCTGCTCAAAACCTGATATTAGTTCTCCTTTTATTAAGAATTAAAGCCAGAGTTTTTGGAATAATCTATTAGTCCTTCCTTCACCTCATCTGATTGTCTATTTCCTCTTTATTCTTATTTCCTACTAGAGGCCCGGGGCACGAAATTCACGCACGGGTGGGGGGGAGGGGTGTGTCCCTCAGCCTAGCCTGGGACCCCTGCAATCTGGGACCCCTCGGGGGATGACCGACTGCTGGTTTAGGCCCGATCCCTCAGTAAATTTTTGTTGAACAAATAAATTTCAGAAAGCACTGAGGAAAGATTTTTAACAAAAATTTTGATATAACTATGTTTGTATTTGATAAGGGGGACAAGGAGCTTAATGTGTAACTTGTTCTAGAACATAAGAATTCAGTAGATCAAGAAATAAGAGTTAATGCATGTAATATTCCTATATGGAGGTAAAAACAGAAGAACTAGTTTTTCCTCTTCTACCTAATCAACTGAAGCACTCTCACATACAGATTCTTTCTCCAGATTAATGAATAAAAAGTTTAATGAGTATCTTATATAATAAAAGGCTAATATGCAAATTGTCCCCTCGGGAGTTTGACCGAGTGGGAATTTGACCACTTGCTATGATGTGCACTGACTGCTGGGGGCAGTGCGGAAGGAAGGAAGGAAAGCTCTTGCTGGCAATCCAAAAGCCTCAATTGGCTCTGATCGCTGGCCAGGCCTAAGGACCCTACCCTTCTATGAATTTTGTGCACCAGTCCTGTAGTTTGTAAATAAGCATTCATCCTATAGACTCTGTAATGTTTAAGATTCATTATTCATAGTTTGATGGTGAGTAAGAAAATTATTTCTATTTAGTGAAATAACTTCTTACCTATCTGTTTTCATTTTTCCTTCTGAGATGAACAGTTAAGTTTTAGGACTCTAAGTAACTATACTTTTTAAAAGGAGTTGTTAGCTTCATGATTTTAAATTTGGGTGCCAAAGTGTCTACACTAATAAAAGAGAAATATGCATATTGACCATGACTCCATGACACCAGCAAATCAGGAGGGAATATGCCAATTAGCAGGACACAGATGGTGTTGGTCCCGCACCCCAGTTGCTCCAGGTGCGGAGTGGCCAGGTGGGGCAGAATGCCTGCTGTGAGGAGGAGGTTGGGGGTGGAGGGAGCTACCAGAGTGGCACTCCAGCCGGAGCGAAGTGAAGACTCTGGCCAGAATGAGAAGCCTGCTGACTCCAGCTGGAGTCAGCGAAGACTCTGGCTGGAGCGAAGGCCTGGGTCCCAGGTGCTGGAGGAAAACAGGTGCCGGCAGCCAGTTACGTGAATCTTCATGCAATGGGCTTCTAGTTTACTTAATAAAGTTTTTTCATATTTGAAATGCCCAGAGGCTCAGGACTTAACTTTAATTTTATTGGAATCCTCTTCATGATCCATGAAAACTCACTG